CCCCCCCGTAAACGGGGGCTCCTCACTCCACTCCTGCCCCGGCAAACCCAGCCGCCATTTAGGAAGCTGCACCCTTTGCTGCGGCCGCCGCCTTGCTGGCTGTCGACACGAAAAAAAGGGGCAAACAAGGCCATAAAAGCCACTTCCAGGTCCCGTAGGGCCTTCTCCCTCACGAGGGCCGGGGGTCTCCCCCCTCTCCTCAGCGCCCACCCGCCCGCAGAGAAAATAGTTATCTCAGCGCTGCTGCTGGTCGACGCCTTCCACCCCGCAGCGGGAGCTTATCCGCAGGCCCAGGGGGTGAGGCCCCCCCAGCCCGCCAGGAAACCGTAGGAGCCGCGGGAAGGGGCGGCCTTGCCGCCGGCGTGGCCCCGCAGCGGCCGGGGCAGCCATCCCACAGGTGCCGCGCAGGGCGAGGGAGAGACCAGGGCAGGTCTGCTGGCAGCTCGCCGTGATTTTTCTGATGAAATTGGGCTGGCAGAGCGGAAACGGTGCCACTGACACGGACCTGCCAGATCTGGGGTAACGTTTACACCCGTTGGCAAGTCCGTGGCGACTTCCATATAATTCGGATTTCATCAGAATAATCTATACAGCTATAAACATCTGGACGAAGCTTGAGAATTACAGTGCCCTGAAGAACAGAACTGAAATGCTGACATTTTTGAGCACTCCACAATAACCTTGCCTTAACATGAATGTATTTCAGTACCTACACAAAAAACATTATTCCATGTCGGTGAAAAAACAGCTGTTAAAAGACTCATTATGCTAAAATGGAGGGTTTCAAACTTCTCCCTTCATTGGGCTGTGTTTTCCTAAAAAATTCCCATCGGATTTGCAGCTGCCTGCCCTCTCTGCCACATCCTTACAGGGAAAAGGAGGAGGGGGAAATGTTACCTGGAGCTTTTCCAATGCCTTTCACTTCCCAGTGCCCAGAGCTCCTTCGGTCTGCATCTCCCCCTGAGGTGTGGAGTTTAACCTCTGACAGATGTTTCACTTCGGGTTGGGGTTTTTTCCACACAGTACTTGACATGAGATGTCCTCTCCCCCTTTTCTCACCCTCCCCTCTCAAGATGTCATCCTAATCCTATAGTGTCTTTTCCCCACTTTTCCATTTCTTTTTCGCTCTCCCTGCTCATCAGAAAGACCTTGGAGAAGAAAATGTGGTCAGCTGCTTCAGGATAGGCGCTCCTGTCAGCACTTCCCTTCAAGCCATGCTGTTGCAGGTTTGTGATTGACAGAGTTTTGACTTCTACTGAGCAGTTAGGAGATGAGGAAGGTGGCCAGCACCACAAAATCTTTTAATTAATCCCTTCGCTGTGAAGTCCCCATACTTGTGGTGGGCTCTGGCCAGCATCCAGGCCGATGGGAAAGTGTCTCCATGAGGCTGTAGTCTGTGTGGGCAATGCGGGCTGCATCCCGAAGGATGCTGGGGGGCTTAATCTGCCGAGCCCTGGCCAGCCGTGCTATTTACACGGCCGCCAAGCTCATTGATAAAAAAAAGGTCAGCTTATTTAGGTGGGAAATTGCCATTTTTTGGCACTGCTACGGGGAGCTGACTGAGACTGATTCCCATGCTGTCCTCATGCAGGCAGTCCCTCAGCACCCTCCTGTTCGTGGGACCTGTGTTCATGGGACACAAGGGGAGCACCTCTGGGCAGACCTTGGCGGTGCTGCCAGTTCAAAAGGAGTCCTGCTGTGAATTAAAGGACTTGTTGGTGTACCTGCACTGCTTCTCCTCCATCATCCCCTCCCTGCCCCTGTGGTCAGTTAATGTAAGGAAAACAAGATAAATTCCACTGAGCAGGTTTGGAGACTTATTTCTGTTAAATCAGAAAATTTCTTCCTCAAACATTGTTGTTGGTTTCTGGAGCTTAAAGCAGGAGTCGGACTCCTTGTCCTTGAGGCCCTTCGTGTTGGTTTTTGAGGTCTCGTTGCCATTTGCACCACCCCATGCTGGGATGTTGGGGTGTACCGTGAGGGCTTCAGAAAGCCCGAACCAACTGAACCCTGGTACCAGTGACAATGCACCTGACTTCTGCACAAGCAACTGATGTGATGGTAGCACGGTGGGCTTGGAGAAGTGGGTCTGGAGAGAGCATCCAGGGCTCACCTCTCTACTTAGGAGAGCAAAATGGTTTGTTATGTCCATTCACTAGTGTGAATTACATGTCCCTGGATGGATGTTCAAAAAGTTAAATATTGAAATGTATCTGGAAAAAATGACTGCGTATACAAGCTACAGTATCTTGTGTGATGCATTTAATATCCCTAATTTACATGCTGACAACTTTGCCATTTCTAAACAATGTTATCATTCATCTTTCTGATGATTAATCAGCACAAGCTTCAAACACTGTTTATCACACTTTGATGCAGCAATCAAACAAGAAAGGCAAGGTGTTACAGGGGCGTTTTTTGTTTGGGGCTTTTTTTTTTTTTTTTCAAAAATCTTACAGTATTTACAAAAAGATGCTTTATTTTTTTCTAACACCATTCTTAGAATTATTCACTCATTCACAATCAGTCATTGTATAAAAACATCATTCAGAAATAGGTTTTAAAATACACCCACCCCTGTTGCATAGTATACAGAAAAATAGGCGAGAGTCAAGACACTTGATTTTTGAATGAGAATGTGAACTGATTCAGAGGTACAACATTTCTGAGGAAGAAAGATGCACTTCTCAAAAAATGATCAGCTGTAGTTCTCCTGATGCTAATGAGCTTCTTGCAGGTCTACTATCAAATTTCCCTTTTACAGATCAAGTATCTTTTGAGGTGTGTTGCCATACACACAATGCTTGCATTAAGGTCAAACAAATCATACTGCAATTAGATTTACTCTGCAGTATTTGCATGTGGACACTGACTACTGTGAGTTACACAAAGTACTCGCAAGGATCAACGTTGCTTTCATGTGTCATGGCTCATCCCTGGAACAACTCAGTGGACCTGATTTGTTATTTCCAACTTCTGTTTGTATAATTGAGAGTCTGAATATACCCTTATACTTTGAGGATCTTTTCTTCTGTAAGAGGACCTTGGGTTCTATTCACTGTAAGAGTTAAAAGGGCAGGCTGTGGAGGGATTAACAGGCACTGACTGTATCTATCCTGTTGACTTTCAAACAAAACTTGGTAATTTAGTCATTTGGTTATCTTGTATACTGATAATTTTTTTGCTTTAAAAATGTGCTGCAGTGAATTCATCGAGCCTGGTCCATTAAAGAGCAACAGGGAACTCTGAACAATAGGTGCTTGTTTTACAGCTACTGCAAATGCTTCGAAAGCACTAAATTGCCTTTTATACTCAACAGTCTAATAACAAAGACTGATTTTCTCCCTTTTTTTCCCCAATTGATTTGATGGTTCACTTGAGCTTTAAAAACACATTACATAAATCTTTACGGTTATTACAGAAGTCTTTTGTCAAGTTTAATTTGGTGTTTGTTTTTTTTTCCACGGTGTAATCATTCACCCTTAAACTCATGGTACCACACATACCGGGATCGTGCTTGACTCTGGATCCATAAGAATAGTAAGTCCTAAAGGTTTATTTTGCATGGGGAGGGACCTAAATCCTTCCAAAGGCAGTTTGTCACTGAAAGCTCTTGGTTCAGAGGTATATCAGAAAAAGCGCCAAGCACTCCCAAAGGCACCTCTGACAACAGCTCTATCCTCTCCTGCTATTTAACTTTACCGTTACAACTTTGTTTGGGCTTGATAGGCTGTGATGGAAATATTAGCTAGTATTAACTGAGAGGGTGGGAGATCCATCAGTGTAGACCTCTCTCCCTGCTGCAGAATAAAGGGGAATGTGCTGCTCACCGGGCAGATGTGTAGAAAGCAAGAGCTGGTAGAAAAGCAGTAAGTGTTGAAAAACCTTCAGGAACACAATTGGGTACAAAACCCTAAAACCTGAACAGATGATATTCTCTTCACCAGAAAAAGCAGAGAGGCTGTTAAATGCCAGGCTTCCTCATCCTACTTTCTCCTGACCCCTGTGTGTCCAGATGCCTCTTCACTTTCCTCCTGTTTTTGAAGTGGAGGATTTCTATTGTTCTCCCCTTTCCCAGCACCCCCATGCTCTGTGAGGAAAGCTGGGCCCTGGAGGTGTGCAGGGCCAGGTCTCACTTTGGGGAAAATGAAGAAGGGAAGGCTGGGAGAAGTAGGATGCTCTCACTGCAATCCCGCCGATCCACCTCTCTCGGCATTATGATCCCTCAGCAAAGCACTTGGGTCTTTGACGAACGGGTGGGTACAGACGGGGCTTGGCTGGCACTGTAAGGAGAAGGTGGGGGTCTGCTGGTGGTGGAGCTGGAGCTGAAGGAGTGAATCAGAAAGAACCCAGTTAAATGCACAGAGGTTTATCTCCAAGCCTGAGCTTCTCAGTACTGGGAGCCAGGGTGAGCCTCTCAGTTAAAGATGCTGGGGTAAGATGTGTTCGATGCTCAGAGATGTCCACGTGCACACACCAGAAAATTTTGCGGATAGCCAGCCGGGATTCTGCTCTCATTGCCAGCGCTATAAATCTAGAGTAGCGACACCGACTTTTCTGGATGTGTTTGGAGCAGCACAAAACCCAGCTTTACATTACAACCACTGTAAATGCAGGATGGGTCAAATTCACGCCTGGTGGAGCATGACGGAGGAGTGGGGGACAGCACTCTATTAATGAAGCTATTATTCAAATGAAGAACTTTAAAAAAAAAAAAAAGAGAAGGATGGAGTTGCTGGTGACACTGACCAACATTGTTCGGGGATCACAGTAAGGAGATCTGCCGGGCGAACAGGGAGAGCAGAGCTAGCGCCAGGGCGCAGCTGCCGCCCGGGGGGAGCGGTGCCAAGGGGGCCGTGTTTCGGAGCATGCACTCCACCCTGGACCAGGAGCCATTGTTGGGCAGCGGCTGTATTCCTGCCAGGCTGCACATGATGTTGTAAATATCCACGGATCTGATGGGAGGCGCTCGGAAGTTGGATCGGAAATCTGTAGGGAAAACAGGCAAAGAGAGGAGTTGGCGTTGTATGGCTTGGGGTTAGCTCCTGAAATGCGGGCCGCTGTGGGGCAAGGGCTCCTCTGCCTTCCCTCAGACTTACCCAGCAGGCTGGGATGTGGCACACTGTACAATTTACAATATAGCTCAGCAAAAACATTTTAAATGTTTTTATTCATTATTTTTACTTCTAGTCCAATTTTATTCTGAAAACTAAAAAAATAAAAAATTAAGTACGGGAGCTACTTTACTGTGTGTGCTTGGTAGAAGATTTGATAGCCTCAAATAATTGTATTGCACATTCTGCTTTCCTTTCTCTCCTGTCTGCAGTTGCAGCCTGGTGCTCAGCAGTGTTTAAAGGGCCTGATGAAGAGGAAACCAGGGGTTTTGTGTCTGTCCGTCGGACAGGTGGCTGAGGTGTGCTGCAACCTTCTCAAAGAAAGTGCTCTGCGTTAGTGAGTCCAAGTCCACCAACAAAAAGAGAATTCATGTGTTTCAAAGAGAATTAAAAATTTGGGCCAAAATTTAGGAAAATAGGGCAAAGGTATAGAGTTACTGCACTGAGATGTCGGAGAGAGGCTGACCAAATCCCTTCTCATCTCTCTGTCCTGTTTGTCCAGCTACAAAACAGATACAGAGCTAGAAACCTTCCCGGCATCCAGCCGTAGTGAGGAAATCCTGCCATCTCTTTGTAATTTTGGGGTGTCACAGAGTGCCACATCAGGGTCCTGACATGCCAGGGGCTGCAGGGATGCTGGAGCAGGGGCCATGGGGCTGTAGGTAAGCGGGACACCAAGGATGGTGGCATTGTACCTGGCCCATATGCAATGAAGAAGGCTCTCATGTCCATGAGCTCGTTGTCATAGCCGTGCCAGCCGTTCTGCCAGGCCTCCTTCCTCCCCGTCCCGTTCTCCCAGAAGGGCAGCTTGTCCCTGCTCTGGGCGAAAACAGCAGAGCGTGGTTAGTGCCCGCCTGCTGGGCTGCGCGTGGGGTGCCATGTTGTGTCTCCGTGCGCTGTACCACCCCATCAGGCCCCTGCACCATACTGTCAGTTGCACAGGGGCTCATCACCAGGAGGGGTGATCCTTGGCTTTGCCATCTCAGGGAGTAGCCATCTCCCAGCTGAGCGGGGAGGACAAATTTCTGCCTCTCGCTCATCTAAATTTCTGCCGTGAGCTCCAAGTGTCACATCTATATGTGACGCCTGTAAGCAAGGTGGTGTCCCTCTCCTGCTGCATGCTAGCAGTGCCGCTCTCCCACCCAGCACCATGCACTCCCATGGATTTGATCGGGTGTTGTTCTGCCCAACATGCCATTGATACCATAGAAAAAGCAGCCATTTTTGCTCCATTTGACTAGTCAGCCTAAACAATACAAATATCACCCCTACCATATACTTTCTAATAATTATTATTTCTTCTCCCTGCTCATTTTAGTATTAAAGCAATGAAGTTCCTTCCAGGAAACACAGGTTTGGATCTAAGACGGTACCCCTCTCCCTGGCATAGACCACTCTTAGTTTTCTCTCCCTGCTTAGTGGATCCATGCTTTAATAATTTGTCATCATAATTCTTGTTTTTCCTTGGCCATATTGCACTTAAGTTGTACTTTTAAATTCCTTCCTTACTTTCTCCTGCTCTATATTAACAGTTCTTACCAGACTACCTACAATAGTGCCATATCCTGGCCCCCTCGGGAGCAGCGGTCCCTATGGGCTGCTCAAAATGCTGGACCAACCCTCTCCATGAGTTTCTCTTGTCCCATGCTCCCTAGGGATGGCAGCAGGTGTGACACTCCAGATATCCCCAAAACTATGGCAGGAATTTCACTTGGACGAGGAACATCACCTGACAGTTTATTAGACCCCTGGCATTAATTTCTCTGATGGTTACAGAGAAGGAGCTACAGTTGCCTAAAATGACCAGGTCTGGGCTTTGCACTCCATCACAGGAGCACAGAAGATGCCACAAGAGTCTCCCACATTCCCACCCTGGGCAAGTGGTGCCGCAACCCCTGCAGATGGTTAAGCAGATTGACCGAGGATGCCATTTCTTTTACAAACATTTGTTTGATTCTTGTTTTCCTCCTCTGCCCAAGAAGAAAACTGACCGTGCGCAGGAGCACTGAGGACAGCAATGGTTATGGCTATGAGGTGTAGTTCTTCCGACTGCTTTCCAGGGGAGCCCCTGGAGTATCCCTTGCTTTTCTTCGTATGTAATAGTCAGCAGATGTACCAAATAATTAAACAATTTTAGCTGACAAATTAAATCTCTTTCCTTGTCCACATCTATTTCACTGACAGCACTCAGAGCAAGCCAATGAGAAAAGAGACTCCTTCCCCCTCTTTCTACCATAGCACCTCCTTATGCTGTGGCTCTGTTTACTGTGGTTCCCGGGGACTAATTGTCACTGGGCTGCTCACCATTAGGCAACCCGTACAGCATTTGTTAGCACCAGCTCCAGACAAGCCAAGTCACATCTAATTTGCGGTGTTTCTTTGGCAGTATCATGACATTGCCGAAGCTACACCCCTCCACGGTCCTGTCAGCTGTTGTGGACTCAGCTGCTTCCCCAGGAATGTCAAACGCAGGAGGTAGGGTGCCTTTTCATCACCCACCCAGGCACCAGGAGATACCTACTCGCAGCTAGATGTGCAGTCAAAGGCACAGTCATTTCCATTATTTTTGCTGCTAGCTGGGTCAGAAGACACACTACTTTTTCTTTCACAACTGCAGCTGAAGTGAGAGCTTGTGAAACCACTGTTAACAGCAGTTGCTTGAGGGAAAGGGCTGTGCAAGCATCTCAGCGTTGCCCTTCTAGAGCAACAGGCTCTGCCTTACAGCAAACCCCACAAAGCCCTGGGGCATCTCTGGGGCCAGGGCGCTGGCAGCACCCCAACATGCCTGCCTTAGCAAGCCCAAATGGGACAGAGGACTCAACCAAGACATTGATTCTTCATGCACAGCCTAAGCTTGGGCTAGCACTGCTCCTCAAAGATGAAGCAGGGGCGTCTGGGACTGCTGACAATGGACTTTTCCCTGCATGTGCGCGGTTAGAAGCTGTACAGCAATTGTTCCCTAAAACTTGGGAAAGTACACTGGGATGGGTACAGGGTGAGCGCACAGCCCTGAGGGCTAACGCCGTTGTTGCATGCAGGAGAGCAGCCGGGGGAAATTCAAGGATGGGGATCACTCACTCGTGTGGAGGGAACAAGATAATATTAGCAGACCAGCATCAATACAGCTGAAGATGTATGGAATCCTTCCTCATCCTGCTTTAACTGAAATGTGGATGGACTTTTGTTCCTATGCTCCTTGCTGGGGAAACCCCACAACTTTCCAGATACATCCTCTTTGTCTCTCTCTCAAAAAAAAAAAAAATTTCCCCTTTTTCAAACAGCTTATAGCTATCCACTAGCCAACAGAGAGTTAAAACACCCCATGAGCATGATAGGGAAGAGCTGAATATCCTCTCCTCAGTGGTTTGGGCAGGAAATATAATAGAAGGCTCAATTATTGCTTTAAAAATATGACAGGAAACTTTCATTTTCATATCCCATTCACAGATAATGAAAATGTACCGAGGAGAAGGAAAATCTGACAGCATTAATGAGAGGACATTCTTGAAAATCAGAAACAATGGGAAGGAATGGGCAGAGAGACAGAAATAATTACCATAGCAGCAGTGTTTGCTGCACTGTTATTAAGGTTTGTCAGAGTTTCAATGATTTTTTTAAAGTGCTTTTTTTTTTTTACAGACTATGTAAAAATGTTCTGTGTTGAACTTCTGTACAAAAGAGTTTAGTTGTAATTTTTTAAAATCATTTTGACAAAAATGTTTCAGATTCCTACTTTACGTGTCTGAATCTTAATTCTGGCTTTTTTTTTTTTTTCTTTTTAACCAGAAATGTGGTGCTCACCCATCCATACTCAAAAGCAATCGGGTTTTTTTAGAGGTGCACTTTTTTCAGGTGTAGAAATTATTATCCTAAAGTCAGGTTGGCTAGCGAGACATGTGGTGGTGTGGATCACCTTCAGCAAAGCCTGGTAAGCAGTAGCTCTGAGGGACATGAAAGAAGATGCTCAAATGAGTAACAATAATCTGCAAGGCAATGATGGGCAATGACTATGCTGGGACACCGAAAAAAACCAGGACGCCTTGGTCCTGTTGCCAAGTTACTGACTTAATGTATGGCCTTGAGCAAACCACTTAGTACTGCTCCTCTGTTTACCCACTTAGAAGATATACAGGTTGCCTTGCCCTCCGAGCTGTGGTGAGGCGCAGTTAATATCTGCAATGTGGAGATGCTCAGTAGCGATACAAGTACAAAATAATAATAACAACAACAATAATTTATAGTAACACAATAAGTTGGTATGAAAAATCTCTTCATGTGCAAGTCTAATTGATTTGCTGCTCAACAAGCTCTCAGATTTCAGTGTATGCACTGGGTATCTCTGAGGAGTAAACCCCCGTCTGACCCTCCTGAGACTGGAGGGCTTGGGAGAAACAGGGCATTTTTAGGACAGAGTCTGGTGGGTGGGAAGCCAGGCAGAAGGATGAGTTGAGTTGCCACAAAGTACTGCTGAATGGAGAGACAGTAAGAGCTTGAAATGGAAACACTCTTTTTGTGCCTGAGATGAAGGTAGATGGGCAGGGGAGAGAGGAGTAAAGCAACAGAACTGGAATGCAAAATACAAAAACTCCTCCTGCTTTATGATGACACAGAAAAAAGAACCGTCTTGACTATTTAACTTTGTCTACCTTCAGCATAGCTGCCATGCCTTTAGGCTCTTTTAAGCACATGGCAATACTTGACATTAGCTTTGTAGTCAGTCCAGGTAAGTGATGTAACACTTTAACTCAATGCCCAGCATAGACTTGTACATTTTTCTTATTGTTTTCATATATTACCCCTTTTCACATTCATGTCTAAGTATTTTGCTTCTCTACTTTACCTCTACTATGAACCATCCTTCCTCGGCCACGAGAGTTAGAGGAGACACAAATTTTCCTTTTTTGTAGAAAAACCTGTCTGGAATATCCTGTATGTTATAAACATGCATGTGTTCCACAGCTTTCAGTTTTTGATATATCTGCAAAGAAAACAAATGTTAGGACACCATATGGCTGTAAAGAGCATATACGCACCTATGGATACACAGAAATACCTGAATTTGTAAAATAGCTAATTCCTTTTAATGGCTAATCATCAGCACATTCAAACTGGGACTTTGCCGGTCCAAAGATGACGGCTGTGCAAAACCTGTTTATGCGGTTTAGGAGGTTCTGAAAACTTGGATCATAAACACATAGGAACGCATGAATTCATGTATGAAATATATTTATAATACACGGACTCACAGATGTATGCATGTGAGTATATCAATGTGCAGCAATAGACCAGCAGAAACCAAACCACCACAGGAGACAGTAAGCTAAGTGGTGAAAGATGCTCAGAGGCACAATGTGGACTGGGTACAGATGCAGAAAAGGGATATTGCCTTTGGCCTCTGCCACTCATTCCCTCTTTGTGCTCTTGAGTGAACAATTAGTGTCACCTCACCTGTGTTTCTTACACTTAACCAGTCAATCCCTATCAAAGGGATTGATAGTGCTTAATTATCTGCTTCATAAGGATGCCGTGAGATTAATCAGCCAATGCCTGCGGCTTTGAAGCTGCACAATGCTGTACAAGTGGTTTATTAATATTAATCATACTGTCTGGAATATAATCACACAAATGTGGTTAAACCCCAAATTATTCAGAAAAATATTTTAAATGTCTAAAGAAGATGTTCATATGCCAGGAAGAAGGCAGTTATTGGAGTCCCCCGAGTGTATATCGCTCTTTTGCTTAAATATAAATAATCTTTAGGAATAAATAGCTCAATTCTGCAAAGAATGAAAGGTCCTTCATTAGCCTTTTAGCTAAGTCCCCCTTGCGTGTATATGTGTGCAAGAGATTTGCACTGATATGCAGTTGCCGAAAGGACGGCACCAGGGTGTGACGGCAGGACTCAGCCAGACCCTCCCACCATGACCTGGACTAGAGAGCGGTCCTGGTGTTTCACCAGTACTTCGGGTGCTTCAAAATGGAGTAACTCTTAAAGGTGATAACCACTATGTTATGATATGATCTAATTCCTAAACATGGCTCTTTAAAGTGAATTAAGAATAGAGGAATCTGGCTACTGGGAAACAGAAAATCAACTTTATTTCACTTAAAAAAGCAGCAGTCCACTAAGAAGTCCTAAAAAGAAACAAAGGAAGAAAACAAAACCATGGTGCGATGCATTGTACTTTATTATCCTGAGGGATATTAGGCTGTTTAATGAGAGAGAAGCATGTGCTTAAGAGCTTTGTCGGATGAAACCCCACGTCTGCATGAAGTCGCAACTTATACTTGCCCTTCTTTGAAGGCCTGGCCTACAAAAATAGGGATCTCTGACTTAAGGCTGAGGCGAGCATCTATAAACTCTGTGATCCTCTGCAGGAACTCTGAGTGAATTGCTTACACATGCCTCTACGACAAATTTCAATTCTGGCACTAATTTTAAACGTTCACAATATCACAGCTATACAATTCCTGGAGAGCCTGTTTGGGTGCAAAAATTAGCAAATATTCACCCAAGCTACAATATACTGGAATTGGCTAAAATATAATATAGAAAACAAAATTATTCACCTGGAGCATGGACTGCCAACCACTCATCTATATTCTGAGGACAGCAATAATGACTTCTCAAGCACTGGTTTCTGGTTAAACTATAATGTACTAGTCTATTAGTTACAGATGCTGCATTTTCATTCTTTTCAAGTGGTTTCCAATTTTTTTCCTGTATTGTTTTAATTTGTCCCTTAAAATCCTGCAGTTCTAGCCTTGGGCTTTTATGGTTGATTCAATCCCACATGCTTGTTCATCAAAATTCTTCAAAGGAGAATATTGTAAAAAAAATCGGGTTTTGTAATTCTGGTCTAATGGAGTTAATTCCTCACACTCTATGGGAGTTTACTGTAATATGAATGCCTGACCTCCTCCAGATCATTTGAAAATCCCAGCTAGAGTGTCAATAAATTGAGTCTTATATATATAAAAACCTAAAAATGGGTTTTGAGCTAAAATCTTTCAGCTATTTATCAGATGCACACAGTGGTGGGGTTTGAAAGCATGTATCTGTGCCAAATAACAGTCAAAGTTCACGCTTTTTAATTTGGCTGGTGTGACTTTCTTTCAGAAACCAGTGTCACAAGAGTGTCACAGAATCCAAGTCTGACTCCCGATAAGAGCCTCAGGCTGATTTTTACACACATATCTGAGACCGGGTTTTGGATGTTGCGAGCAAACAAAAGACGTAATTGTCATAAAACCCAAGGAAACACAGAACTAAATAAATACAAATAAGCTGTACTTACCTCTGCGTGCTTCTCTGGAGCTGGCCAGAGGCTCACAACAGGACCTCGATCCTTCATTTGTATGGTATCGCTCATATTGATATAGTTTTTCAGCTCAATCACTTTGTCCGCCCAAGAGATGTCTGTCATCCCGTGATCAGAGAAGAGGAGGACGTTGACATCATGCTGAAGACCCATGCTCTGTGAAGCGAGTGCATGACAGCCATTATGGCCAGGAATGTGTTTTGCTTTGCCTGCTGGCAAATTTTAATTCCCATTTGACTGCCACTGATTTAGTGGAAGTTGGCCAGAAGGAGCATCGTCGCAAATGCCCTTCAGTGTGGTTTGCCACCACCCGTAATGGTGGACGTCCACTCTCACTTGCTGCCCTGAAAGAGTCTGAGACGTTAGTGCCAAAGACAGATTTGCCAAAATAAATCCACCCCTCTGCTAAATAACTAGATGCTACATCCCGGTCCCACAAACCAGTTGTCCCAGTTTGTCGACAGGATTTTATCCAACTGTTCTTCATCTGTAGGCCAAAATGGCTGGGGAAGAGCAACTTTTTCATGGTACACCTGTGGCAGGGGTATTTCTCTCTTCCCCTCCCAAACACAGGCATTTAGCATTAGAGCTTTTATAATTCAGTGAAATTGGAAATACATATTCCTCTCCTCACTGAAACACATAAAAAACTCCAACGTGCATTTATCATTGTCAGAAATATTCACAGAATCAACATTTACCAAAAAACTTGGTATCCTCCTTTTCTCACTGCAAAATAATTTAGATAATGTTTTTTAAAACAAAGTTTAAAGTACAAAGTTCTGAGTGGTGCCATAAAAACCACTATAAAAGTTAATTGTCTGATTCCACAAACCTTAGGAAGTGAGTGGTTCTGATTTGTTCGCCTACTATAAAGCCCAGCCGGCAACACATGTTATAAACGGAGCAACATGTATATCGGTTTATGGCTTCCTGGGGCTATTGGTATAATAAGCCACTAGGAGGATTGTAATGCCATCAACAAAAATAAAAATCAGGGGAATGGTGCCTTGACTTCCACGTGATCTCGGTAGCCTCTTTTTCTCAGGAAATAAAAGTTTACAGCCAACGCATCCAATTAACAGGCATTAAATAGGCTCTCGGCAGTGCCACAAAGAGCAGTTTGAAAAGTCTTTTCCAAATGCACCCGGGAGCTGGGTTTTTGGACGCCACTCACCTTGATGAGCGTGATCATGTTGCTCAAGGCTTTGTCCACCTCCTTCAGAGCGTTCTTCCGCTGCTGGGACGAAGGGCCGTAGTGGTGGCCTTCCACGTCAATGCGCTCGTAGTACACAGCAGCCATTTCGGCGCTGCCGTTGCTGGAGGTGGGAGGAGAGGAAGGAGTGAGAGGCTGTCACACGTGGAGACCTCCTGGCTGACGGCATTATTGTCCTCACCGCCACGCAGAGCCACAAAACCGCAAAGGAACATTTTCCGCTTCCAGCCTGGGCTTCCTAGCCACTCTCGCACGGCTGGGCTCCTTACTCCTCCCAGCCCAGAGTCGCCTGGGTTCGCGTGAGACTCCCATCAGAGATGACAGGTAGAGACTGGCATATGCAAACACAGGCTGGCCTGGCAGCCCTCTGCTACCTTTTGAATTAGGAAGGAGGCTTTTCCTTTAATGACAATGAAAGACCTAGAAGAAATACTAATTTCTGTGCTGAATGCCCTTATTAAAAGTATTGTGGGAATTACCCATTAAATCTGCTTTAATTAAAGTTTGGCACTTCTGGCTTTCTCCTGTGTGAGGTCTTCCAAACCACCGAGGTCAACTCAGGATGTGTTCTTCCATGACCTTGCAAAATCCCGAGTGGTATGAATTGAGGTGAAATTTTAGATGGGGTTTTTATGCAGGAATATGACCAAAGGAAAACTAAGGTAATCTCAGAGTTGCACAAGTTTAGTTGATCATACGCTTCTGCACTGAATGCCCTCAGCCTAATTAGTGGGGATTGCACATACATCAGTGCTTAATTACATTTTCATGACCACTCTACAGTTCACTGTAAAGCTCCCTGAGAGCAGTCGTGTGGATAAAATTGCAAATCCATGCTCATGAAGTTCAAACCCAGTCTTTTTCTACTGAATATATGACAGGGTGTGCCATCCATAATACATGCCCTCATCCAGATCAAGATCCCTACAAAAAGATGTGTGATGTCCTGACAGGTCCACCTTCTCTGATTAAAGACACCCGAGTAGTCTGGTGTAATGAGTGCGACAGAAGAGAAAAAATCAGAGGTGAGGGACTGACTGAATGAATTAGGATCTGTCATTTGCATTTTTAAGTTTGCTGAAGGCCTTAGAGGAGCAGTCCTGTAGGAAGCTGAAGGTCTCTGCTGTGGTGGGAGTTTCTCCACTGATGGCCCTGAAGAACAGTGTTCTTTCTCACTCTTCATGATTTTAAAATCATTCAAATGAAGCAGCCCTTTCCTCCCCCCAATTTCATTTTAAGCATTACTTTCCATCTGTATTAGGCATAAATTCATTTCTAAAATGTAACCCTGTAATTTCTATATTGCATGCACACTCACTGGACCTATTGAAACAGTTTTCTTCTGCTGCAGTGTCTATTAATTAGCTATTTAGACTGCTTTGTGTCACACTGCTTTGTGTCTTCTCACCTGTAACTAAATGATCAGAAGCTAAGAAAGAGATTTATTGCATAGAACAAGTGGTCTTATTTAGGCTGTGGTGAGATTTCTCAGTGAGGGCTCAGTGCTGTAAGGATGAACATTCAACTTTTTACATGACTTCAGTGGGACAAGATCCAGTTACGTGGCATGCTTAGGAGTTTGCAGGATTGGGTACGGCACATCCAGAGCTTGTAAGACTGAGTTTGACTTTGTTTCCTGTTTTCCTAAGAAAACTAGGCATCTCTGATCTTGGCTTGCATGGGAGAAGTACTCTGTCTTTCTAACTGTGCGTTAGTCCTGTCTTCTCCCATCAGCAGTAATTTTCAAAAGAAATGGCTAAGGAAAGCTTGCTGAAGAAAACTGGATGGCATCGATGGCAATACCAAAAAGGGTTTCGTATTTTATCAACAGACTTTTGCAAACTTCGTGACACCTGTCCAGGACGGTAGGTAGATTACCACAGCCCTTAAATTATAGTTGTGGAAAAGACATACGGGATGTTTTAGCTTTACTTGCCAAAAGTGGGTGCTTGGCTTTCAGTTTTGAATATTTTTGGTCTAAATAATGGTCTCAAAGCACCTGTTTGAAGAGACTGGAAAATATTCCTGAAAGATGGTTTCCTCTGGTTGCCAAGAGGAGCTCAGTGGCTCCCTGAGGAGTTAGGTACTCCTGCCCTTGCAGAGAGCATTGATAAAACTCCCTTTGACCCTGGTGAAGCTAAGATAGGTCAGGACGTTCCTGTGCCCAAATTCAAGTTAATCCTAGGCCACCATGCCACAATAAAGGGCTTACTTTCTCTACCTTGAAGTCCCTGTAAGGTTTGCTAATGGTGGGAGCATAAGTGCAGTTCATTAGCTACTAATACCTGCCATCAGGGCAACTAACCTTGCCACAGGCTGTTTTCCCACATATAGCTGGTGCCAGCCTCAGCCTAATGGGCTTTTTCAATTAGTTGGAGTGTGGAAAGGAAACAGGCTGGATTTGCCAGCCTTTGAAGACGTAGATGACAATAAAACACAGCTCAAGACTCTCCTACCCAGAGATGCTAACTCCTGCTAAATGAATACACCTGCAATAAAGGCATTCCAGAGGCTTTACTTCTTATGGGCTGGCCTAGCAGCACTGAAAATTGTTTGCTAAATTTCAAAGGACTAAACAAAGAGGATGAATGAGAGAAAGGATACGGAAAACCTACCTGATTTTTAATCTGTTCATTCTCTACCCTCCTTTCTTACTGTAAGTCTCTGCAGTATTTACACCCACAACTGATTATTAATTTTATCAATGATCATTCCTTTTTCCTCTTTCCTGCCTTGCTGCAGACAGGGCGCTTAGTTTAAAGAAAAGGAACCCAGGCAGAAATTCAAGAGGGATAGTGTGTAAATGGACACCAGAGACCAGACCTCGCACAGCTCCAGGATGATCTGTAGGATTTGGACTCTTCAGCAGGCTGTAGCTGGTGTTTACGGCAGATATCGCGGTGGCAGGGATTTGCTCTTTTCTTGAAATCACTAGCTTTCACCTCTTGCAAGCTGCCCCACCAACACTGTTGTGTCTCTGCCCTTTTCTTCTTTTCCATGGAAGGCAGCAGCAAGCAGGCTGAATTAGCTATTGAAACCTTTTCAATGGGCTCCAACTACCCAAAAGAGCGGCTTGAAGGGCTGGAGCTTTTAACAGTTTGTGCTTCGCCTTTAATCATGTTCACAATTACAAAGCTGCAAACCGTCCTGAGCAGCCTTATGCACCTTGCTTCATTGAAACCAGGCAGGAAGCTTCAAGCATATCTTGACTTATCCCCAAATGATACCTGACCAAAAGCTTTCTGTGGTAATTCTGGGTTTCTACCAGAAGTCAGAGCTGGTATCTGTATTCAGTTTCCCATTCCCTTTTTTATTCACTGAATTAATAGTGTTGCAGAAGCTCCAGAAAGGCTCCTATGGCACATATGACCTCCTCATATCACATGCAGATAGCTATCTTAAAATCTAAGCTAAATCATTTCAGGATCAAATGTCTCTCACATGTTCTGAGATGGCTTCTCTCTAAGCCCCATGCTGTAAACGACACTATGATTTGTGAGCATCTGTGCAGCAGGACCCAGTGTGCAACTGGAAGCAACATCTCCAGCAGCGCTCTCATCATTTTGGAGCCTTTATTTCAAGGACAAGCAACACTCAGCATCTGAATACAACACTTTTTGGATTTAAATCGCTATGGCAATTTGCAAGTAGTAAACCAATGAGGTTTTAAAAGAGGAAGCTTAGTTATAGCTAAGGTAAGGCATTGGCTCCTCATGTGGTGGTGCAATCTTCCCTGATTTTACAACCTATGTGGAATTGTCCCTTGTTAATATTTGGATGAGAGCTGGTAGAACTGGAAAGCTGGCTGTGGAGCATATGTTCTTCCTAGGAGTTGTCTGAGAGATGTGTTCCCATCAGTTGGGCTAGATGATCGTTGTAGGTCCCTTCTAACTGAACTATTCTATTCTATTCTATTCTATTCTACATATATGCATGAAATGAATGCCTGCTCCACAATCATTGTGCCTGAGATGTTCTAAAATGCAGAAGGAGCCAAAGCATTGGCCTCATAAACAAGTGACTGGAGCTGTGTCCCAATTTCAGAATTTCCAAATTCCCAGGAGCTCTCTCTAAAACCAAGCATTTCAAAGTCTGCTCTTGCAGGTCAGTGAACAGATACTCACAGACTGATCTTGAAGTTGTTTGAAACAGCAAATTAAAAAAAGTACGTTGGGATGGCTCCTCTGTGTTGTAACCTACACATGAAGAGAGGAGCACATCTTCCCCTCCGACCTTAATGTAAGGCCCTATTTCTTTTATGGTCATGTTTCTATGACAGTACTGTAAAGCAGTCTTGGCCCCCATCTTCCTACCTGGGAGCCAATCCTGAAAATTTCCTTGGAGCAAGGCTGATAGTAAACCCGAATACTCATCCTTGAGCGAGGAAACCCCACACCGCAGAAGTCTAGTAACGTACCGCAAAGACTCGAGAGCGTCACTGATGGCATCTGCAAAGTTTTTGTCTGTTGGGACGCTGAAGTATTCGCGGCAATAACTTGGTCTCACCCCAAGGATTTCGACCTCGCAACCTACGAGCAAAAAATATGGTAAGCTCTGCTGTTTCACCTTGATCACAGACCCCACACCGTGGGGTCCAAGTTCAGGTTTGTAAATTCCCTGTGACATTACTTACCTTACACCTTCCCTGCAGGAAACCTTGTGGTTGGGAAGTGAAAAGGGGAGAGAGGTTGGTTTGACGAGTGCTTGTAGCAAACCGTACATTGGATCCTTTTATTTCTCTCTCTAAAAGGAAGGTCTCTGTGTGACCTTCCCACAATAAAACTCTTGATTCCCTTGTGGCAGACGGTTTCCACCTAAATCGCTAGCTTGTTCTCATTTTAACTGCTGCAGCCACATAGCCTCATTTCCAGGCTTCCAACATAAAAGATTTAGATATTGTTCCCTGAAAGTTCAGCAAATACTTTCCAGTTAGACACGCTGTATCTTACGTCGTAATATCCTCTATAAACTGTATTTTATTATGTGATACTGGCATTCCACTATTAAATCTGTTTCCCAGGAGGTCTTGTTAAAACAGTATAAACCAATTAATTCTCTTGGTAACTTGCAGCCTTCCTTGCAAAATACAGTCTGTTTTGTGGCCCAGAAATTTATGGCAACAAATCCTACAGGAGAACATGGCCCTGAACACACAAAACCATGTTTTTGTGGGTTTTTTTGCCCTTTTGCTCTCTGGTTACTATGCTGCTGAATAACATTAATATTTAAAAGAAGTGTGCTTTCAGAAACACTGGATTCAGGCAGATTATCTTTTGAGAGCCCCAGAGTCCTCCCATCACAGTTAGGCATTTTCTGGTGTATTCTTGGGGCACAAGGAGGGAAAAAAAAAAAGGGGGATTTCTTGCAAAATGGCCTCTGTATACAGCAATACAGTCAGGGCAAAAAGGCAACTCTAAGCCATAGCCTGAATCTGTGTACATGTGGGTCCCTTTTCTCCTCCTTTGGGATGAAAAGAACAGGCGTTAAGGACTGTCATAAGTTGACTTGTTGCTTGGCGAGGGGGAGAACGTTGCACAGGAGGTGTAAGTACAGAGAGGGCACTACAGCAAGCAGAGCTACTTTCAGAGATGATTTACAGTGGTTTGCTTACTGGGACACTCAGTAAAGAGAATTTGTCAGTGTCTTGCATCTCAGCCTGCATGAGCTCACATCACTGAGGTGCATTACGGGGACACAGGGAAAAAGCACACTGCTTGCAGGCTAAGCCGGCTGAGAGATTTCTGATCGTGCTTTCTCAGGAGTACCATGAAAGGTAAAAAAACTTAAATATTTAAGCTTAGGGAATTTTAAAAAATCTTCACTGATTTGCAGAAAGCCAGATAAGTCAGATGGAGGTTACCCTTTCCAAAAGTTCAAGAGCCCTGGCACACATGATGAATTCAGTCTTTTTACCCAATGGTCCATGGTAGCGACTCCCAGGTTTCCACATTCTTTGTGTGTTTCAAGTGATCTCATCTATAATTGTTTGTAAGAATTAATTATTTGCAGTAATAAAAGGAAAATGTAGTAGACTAATTTGCTTTTCCGTAAAAACATATTTACATAATTTTGAACCTCTATGTAATATTTTTTTTTATAAAAATTGTGGGAGTGTGTGATGGTGCTCACTTTTCGTTCTTCCCCTGTTGCTCCAAATTTACATGACTTAATCCTCCCCTTTCTGCATGGAGATACTTTAGTGTTTATCTCTCCACCACAAAAGTAATCTGCAATCTGGATGAACAGCCTGGAGATTGCTTGACAAGAACTGACTTTCCATACCGTCCTACAGTAAAACTTCTATACATCTGCACACAGCACTTTGAAGAAATGACGTTGTGCAACAGAGACCGGTTCCAGCTGCTACCTAACCAAATCATCAAAAACATGTATTCCATGAATGACCTGAAGTCATCTCCAGGAAGCAGGAGCCCTTGCCCCCTGCCCTGAGGGCATGCAGCTTCAGTCTTTTGCATGATGTCCTGGGTGCTACCAGCAGCAAAACACGGGCTTTCAGCTACCTTAGATGCTAGTGGTGATGCAGTAGTCCTCTGTGAGCTTTGCTAGTATTTCAGGAGAGAACTGGAACTTCAAAGCCAATTTCTCCTCTGACACTTGAGTCAGAGGGACGAGATTGGCTTCAAAGCCAGGCAAGAAGTTAAGGACGCGTTTGGAAATGCGTTGGAAACAGTATTTTAGTTTGGGTGGATGATTGCTCATAGCCAATGACTAATATGATGATTTTGCCTCTTTTTTCCTCTTCAGATACTGACATCAGATTATCATTTTCTCAGATAACCTTCCTCAGAATTACTCACAAGATAATTTGAACTGGAAGCATTAACCTCTTGGGGATCTGGGATATTTTAGTTGCTGAGATAGCTTTGCTATTTCTAGATTGTCAAGTGATGAGCATGACATAAAAGACTACAGAGGCAGCAAAAATAAGGAATCATTTTGGCCACTAAATGTTGTTCTTCCAGTGTGCAGTTCATTGGCAATAACAATGAAAACTCAGGCTGCTTAGATACCAAGAGCTTCCTTTTTCTTTTTTTTTTTATTTTTTAGCCTCTGTGATGAACAGAACTTAAAATTGGATTTTTTACATTAAGGCTTGTTACAATTCCAAAATACTGGCCATGAAGACCCTTTAATATTTAAATTTCATTTTGGTAGAGGCCAGGACAGATGGTAAATTTTCTCATTTAAATATTATGGGAAAGGAAATTTTTAAAAATTTGGAGCCAGACAAAGGGAATGTTAAGTTTTTCTTGGTTAAACTACAAATAGATGAGCTGTATTTACTAAGATGTAATGTTAGATACCTTTCTGCATAGTTTTGTATGACACTAAACCTTTAAAAACCTGAACTACTGGAGCAGGAATAAGGATTTCTTTCACAGTGATATATAGGCTCCTCTTTATCTATCTGACATGGAGACCTGAACCTCTGCCAGCTTTAAATTGCATTTCTAAACATTGATTTAACAGTTGGACACTTCATGTCATAACAGAAGGTTTTGAAAACTTTCCAGACTAGCTGCACGGTCTGGTAAATGTTGTGTTTAAATGGCAAAATGTTGGTTTAGAGTCTTTTTTTTCCGCTTTCTCTCATTTCAGTGTTTAGAAAAGATGTCACCGCACTTCAGCTGAAGCGGTTGCATAGGCTGCCGGAAAATGGAGGCGTTGGAGGGTGTGGGGGTGACATCACTCACTGGGCTGAGCGTGAGGAATGCTATAAAGCTTTGACTTTGGTGGTGCCGCCGGGATGCTCTCGCACTCCTCTGGGGCTTCTCCATCCGCTGGAGCTGCAGCGCTTCAGACAGGCAACCTGGGCGTGAGGCTGCACATTTCACCCCACGGATGGCGTTAGCTGTTGTGTTTTACTTAGCAATCAAACAGTCAGAGGATACATTTTTCCCCAGGAATGCTTTGAAGAGCAGAAACTGCCTAATAAACACTGTGAAGAAAGGAGAAAAATGTCCCTACAAGCCAAGTGCTTATATTTTGGCAGAAGCGGCGGTTGGGACCCCCGGCACTGTGGAATTTTGGCTCCTCCGCTTCTAGAGGCAGGAGAGCCCAGATGAATTCTGCCCATGAGTTGTCTTGCTGTGCCTATTTTGGGCCCACCGATAAAGCTGTGATGGATGGGTGTTCACATCCAACAGCCCTCCTGCTCTCTGTCCCTGTTTGCTGGGGTCAGGATGTTCTTCCTTTAAGCACTCACTACGCATGAGAGAGGAACATACGGAAGAACACAAAGCAGCAGATTTTGCGTTCAGACTTTGCAAAGCTTGGAACTGGCTCTGAGGAGGAAATGGCAGTGGTGTAAGTTAACCTTGGGAATCAGCTCGCTGGCATTCACAACGTGTTTCTGCTACATTTGATCAGTCTCGTTTGTCTTCACTGCTGGCTGGAGAGAAAATAGCATCTTCCAGAACAAAGTGTGATGAATTTGGCTGTACATTGCTGTTCCTGTTAAGAGCTTCCCAAACTTTTCCTGTTCGGATCTTTACCAGATTTGCAAGATTCATTACTAAGCAGCAGTATATCCTCAGGCTAGAAGTTAATCACTAATAGCAGATCATATGCAGTGCAAATGTCTGTGGGACCTCTACCCACCTTGGTTATTAAAGTCTTATTTTTTCTTTCATTTTGTTTGGCATCACTCCCCAGTCAAATGCCTTGTTAAGAATTAAAGCTTTAAAATCATAGATCTAGAATGTTTAGAAAGGATTACATCCTTATTATGGAACTAGAAAACAGTTCAAAAAAAATTGTGTCAGGAAAATGTAATAAATACTATTGCATTTGGGGTGACTTCTGTTTAATCCAGTTACACCTGGAGTCCTACTGCAGCCCAACTGCCCTGTGTTTTAGTTCCATAGTACTACATTTCACACTGCTTCCTGCCCTGCGCCTGACCCTGTATGGCCAATGTCTCCTTTGAGACCATGAACACCCCTAAAATAAGCATGTGCTTAAGCGTTTGCTGGACTGAGGCACTGAGAACTTTGCCAAAGGTTGTCTGTCACAGATAAATAATTAATGACAGACAGATGTACACGTCACAGTCCACAGCTAAAATACCAGATCCACGCAAAAAATTCCCCCTCTGTGTCATAAGAGAGTCAATGCATACACTTGGCAGCATAAGCACTGGGAAAAGGGAGGTTCTATTGTTCCTTGGAATTTTCCACTGGAAATAGTAGACAGAAAATTGTAAAGGGTATACATATGTATACAGGGATACATACATACAGACCTCATATGTCTTTCTCCCTGGGAGACACTGCTCAAAGGGCAACAAGAAGGAGCTAGGTGAAGTCCAAAGGCATTTAATGGAAAGTGATACTGTTCCTTCGGATTTCAGTAGCTCTCTGTAGACTGTTACATCTATTCAGTACCTAATTATACCTATTCAGTGCAGTTACATTAGTTAAAAATTAATAGTCTGTAGAAACAGGTCTTTTTGTAAACCTTTAGAAGAATTTTTACATTCTTGCATAATTTCTATATCCTACTTTGTGCATTGCTGTTAGGTCACTTGGGCGATCTTCAATAAGAAGCAGCTTTTTTTTGAGGGCTGATCCAAACCATTGTATCTAGTCTGCAATTCCAGTCCCTTGGACTGCCTTTTAGTCCATAGGGCAATATTGTCACCCTCAGATCTTTTTGCTCTGCAGTACTGTAGAAACACTCTGGATGGCTTTTCAATGTTTTTCATCTTGGCTCGCTCTTTCTTCCCTTTCCTGAGAACTGTGGCCTTTTTTTCTGAGACACCATTAGCCACATTGCATGGAAAGACCATGACCAGGCACACGTGCGTTGGGATGCAGAAGACGAGCTGGCCGGGAGCCCGCAGCATGAGTCAGCTGCTGCTGCCCTACCCACTGGCACTGGCTGTATTCAGTACGACTCCTCTAGCATGTGGTCCTCTAGCCTGCAGTTACATACAGGAGGATATTTGCATACTGCTTAGGTAGCAGAGTTAAAAGGTCAAAAAGTTGAGAAGCTGGGTACCTTGCAAGGGATTTGGTCTGGCTGCACAGCTGGAACATTTACTTCCATTGTGGGTCCCTAAATGGGCAGCCTAAGTGTATATTCCTGTTTGTTAAAAAAAGACTCATTATTATACACTCCTAGGGATTTCAGTTGTTCAATATCCACAAATGAAGAACGAAAAGGCCAAGTCCCTCCAGATGAATGGCTCAGACTCAGAGCAACTGGGACCTCAGCTGAGTTAATGATGAAGGAGGACAAAAGTGCTCACTCCAGCTCACTGAAAGATGCTTTGCTTTCAGCTGTATATTGCTATCCCCACAGAATAGACTGTCTTCAGCTCTCAGCTACTAATTTCCAGGTTGAAACCAAACAAGCATGGGGGGAGGATGGTTACTGTTTAACTTTGATCAGTGACATGGTCTGCAATTCAGCACACCAGAAGCTACAGGTGGGCAAGAAGAATGAGCAGTTGGTGGAGGAGGGGATGCTTTGCAAGCCAGCGCTCCCCTGAAGGTAACGTTTGGTGGAAAGCTACCTCCAGTGGCACTCCAGTCTCTTCCTTTCTAAGCATGTGCAAATTGTCATGGCCTAAGAAAAGATAATTCATTTCTATGAGTGGTTAGTAAAGTACTGTCGTGGTTTAACCCCAGCCAGCAACTAAGCACCACGCAGCCGCTCACTCACTCCCCCCCCATCCAGTGGGATGGGGGAGAAAATCAGGAAAAGAAGTAAAACTCCTGGGTTGAGATAAGAACGATTTAATAGAACAGAAAAGAAGAGACTAATAATGATAATGATAACACTAATAAAATGCCAACAGTAGTAATAAAAGGATTGGAATGTACAAATGATGCGCAGGGCAATTGCTCACCACCCGCCGACCGACACCCAGCCAGTCCCCCAGCGGCGAAAAAAACCCTGCCCCCCCCCACTTCCCAGTTCCTAAACTAGATGGGACGTCCCATGGTATGGAATACACTGTTGGCCAGTTTGGGTCAGGTGCCCTGGCTGGGCATGAGAAGCTGAAAAATCCTTGACTCTAGTCTAAACACTACTGAGCAACAACTGAAAACATCAGTGTTATCAACATTCTTCACATACTGAACTCAAAACATAGCACTGTACCAGCTACTAGGAAGACAGCTAACTACATCCCAGCTGAAACCAGGACAAGTACTCATAATTCTTGTCTGTATTTCAGAATGGTATTAAAGAGCCATCCT